GTACAATGTAGAATACATGGATAATATGCAATCGGTCCCAAAAAGTCTGAGGGAGAAATACACGTACCACAATGGGCTGGATTGTTGAGTTGTGCGCCACACTGCACCATAAAGAAATTCAGGGAAGCAGGGGAAAAAAACAACACGATTTTGCTTAAAAATGGGAATCACGTTTTCTGGGGGAAAAATGCTGAGAATGAGATTGTTTTCAAACTAATAAATGACCAGGCTGCCTATTCTGAAAGACATGGTCAGGGTCCTTGACAGTACATGTAGGTTAATTAAAGATCACAATGAATTTAGAGAGTGATAAAGACTAGGTGCCAGACATCAGCACTTTGCTGAAATGGCATGCCCTATAGTAAGGCACTAGGTGAGGTCAAACCTTCACAAACTACAGTGAAGGAAATGTATGGCATTATGGGTAACCAATTCCACTTTTGCGCATGTGCCGTACGCAATGTGTACCTGGGTCACCTGTATAAATTTTAAAATAGAATCTATCCAATAAGAACTCCAAGAATTAAGTCATCAGTGTCCTTTTGGGACAATCTGTACTTAAGCAAAACAGTTGCCTTAAATCCATCTGAAAGACTTGTGCAATCCACTCCATTCACAAGTACCCCCTCACTGGCAAAGAAAGTACAGTTAGGGGTGACCGAACGACGCCATCTTGCCTGACTGCAATATTTTGCCGCGAAGCGCGGCTACTGCGTGTACATAGCACAAATCCTGGTGTACGTGCGTCACATACAAGGAACGGTGCGCGCGCGTCAACCAGCGAAATGTTTATGTCCCGCCAATGGGACGTTGTTGCTAGGTAAAAGGGTGCCCTCTTTGTTGGTGCACGGAGCTCATACTCCCACAAACCTAGATTTCTGTGACCTACATGCAATTAAAAAAAAACTCTCATCAGAAAAAAAATCAACCAAAAAAAAAGAAAAGAAAGGACCTCAATTTCTTGCAGAAGTCAAAAGCTCTTTTGACTGGCTTCCAGCTAGAGAAGTCATTAAGAAAACAAGGCCATGGCATTTACAGTGGTCATTCGTTGTCCAGAGGGAGACAGAAAGAAAGGACATCACACATGACTGAATGTAGAAATTAATCTGGACAACAGCCAGCAGGAAAAGTCCGGTTTGCCGAGCGATGACCATCAGATGTTGGATTGTCCTACCAATTTTTTTAATTTTTCCATCAGGTGATCATGTAATTGTGAAGTGCTTTGACACCTTTACTACAAAGCGCTAGATATAAGCACCACATTAATATTATTATTTATCTATTAAACATTTTGATGTTGTTGTACCTTTTATTTAAATGTGGTTTTACACTCACAGGTTCTTTGATTTCTTCCTTCACTAGCTTGGCATGCATGTACCATGGAGATGTGTTTTATTCCTCCAAACATGTACATACCAACCAAAATAAAAGTCTGACTCTGAGCTCGTAAGGATTTCATTCCTAAATTAGCCTGCAGAGTAGTGAAACAAACAACCGTATGTGTCAGAAACTCAATTATTTAACAACAAAAATAGTCGCTGAAATCCGATTGCTTTCTGAACAAGCCGTAACGACGGGAAAAAAAAAACTCCATATGTTGACCAGTTGTATGCACTTTCCTCTTATATAATTCACGAACGAGGCAAGTCGTGTTGAAAATGACATAACATTTATTTAAAAAGAAGGTTTTTTTATCAGTTGTGAGTTGTTGATAAATAAAGTGGTGTTTATTAATCATTTTTAAATTGTAAGGTTCATCAATAACCTTATAATTCCCCATTCTACTGATGAAATATGTACATATAAAAATGGTGTTTTTACATTTTTAAGGGAAAATTTTCAATATCACTATGATGTGCTGCAATAGAGTAAATACATAGACTTACATGTACAAGTACTTTAATGAGTTTTGTACAAACTGTGTAAGGGGTGTAAAACAGTCTAATTGTTTTGGGGTTGTTTTTTTTTCAGAGAAACATGATTTTAAGATTACTTGGCCAGCCTGAGCTTATTGCCTTTAGCCAGACTGGCTCAGGGACGTCACTAATGCCCTGTTATGTAACATGTCTGACAAAGCAGAGCGCAACTAAGTAGGGTCATACCATTTTCAATGTCACCGGCTTGGGGGGGGGGTTAATTCCTGCTTGGTTTTCAAAATCAGGGTGTGGCTAGGCAACATTTAAAAAAATCTTAACTGGATTAAATATCGAGGTTTGAAAGTTAGGAAGTTTTATTGTCATGGCAATAGATTTAATCATAATCCTGCAATGTGCATGATTGATGGAGGCTCTTTGTGGAGGCTGATTAATTTTGCATTACTTGCGTTAAAATTGAAGGGGGAAAAAAAAGGGAGGGAAAAAAATTGTGTTGAAAACCACACCCTCGACAATGCCTTGTCACTGGCCGATTAACGACACACATACAGCTACGACAACAAAGACATAGCAGAATCATTTTTTGAACGGTTACTAACAACATTTGTTTGGAAAATCATTACAGTACCAAATGGTTTGAAAATGTCAAAAAACCTCTCATTTCAGGCAAGAACCTGTTCCATTTTAGGGGAAGATGCGTGCAAAAATCTGTGCGTCAGTGACGCAGTGTGCACAAAACAGCAGAGGTGGTTGCATCTAGACTTTTAGCTGATAGTACTGTGACCTTCACACAGATCTACACCTGAAGAAAAAATGAAGGAGCCCAAGCCCAGCATACCAGCAAAGTCATGCTTCCTGCTTTGCTGAACAAACAGCTAGTCCTTCAAATAATTCCATTCCATCGATCAATTCCGACCAAGCAACTACCTTGCAGCCACTGGCAGCATTACTCATTAACACCCCAATGACGCATTTCAATATTAATGGCCCCGAACCAGATCAGTTGTTGGTATCAGTTATGCAATAAATTCTTCGATAAAACTTGAAAAGAAATACCAACAAAATTTCAAGGTCTTTTCTTTTGTGGACAAATAGAAGGAACTTATAACATACATGTACAAAAGAACCCCCTGGGTTTTTCAAATGACCAAGGCCCAAGGACGCCAGACTATAATCTGAATCTTTTGTGTACTCTTGACCATTGTCGTGTAAGAGGCGAGTGTCTGGTAACCAGGTACAACGCCCCAACACATGTCTCAAGGTTAGACTTTGTTTGAAGCCGAAGCCGAAAAAAGCTTGGACCGCCTTGGCGGCCAAGAACGGGAACCGCCTCTTGTTGCCAACACAAGGTTTATGGTTGTCAGGAACAGTACTGGAGATAAGAAAACGCAAGGCGGGACCACTGGATGGAAAAAACTTCCAGGAGAATATTCAGATGGTTTAGGTTTTAGAGCCAGTTTCTTGCCAAAACAACAACACAACAACAATAACACCATCAGGAAAAACAGGATTTTCGAAGTGTAGCCCTAAATGTATGTACATAAAAACAACAATAAACAGAGTTTATGAGGGGTTTTCCAAAACGAAACAATTTTTTTTCCAGATTATACACTGAACAAAATATTGATTAACAATGATGATTACGAGCATAAGTTTGCCTCCCATGTTAAAGGGATGACTCAGCCAACTCTTTGAAAAAAAACTCAACTCAACCATGACACTAAAGAAACTCTTGACCAAAAAATCAGGAAATTCCAAGACTTCAGAAGATTTGTACAGTGTTGTTCAGTTATTAATGACAGACAAATACACACATGCAGCCCACGCTATACTCAACTTACCAGTGTTATCCAACCGCACAAAGACAATAAATCAATGTGGACTTTTCAACATGTCATGTTTTCACGTTTCACGCAAACTACCAGCACCCATGTATAACGGATAGTGTGTCCATACTGTACAAAGTGAAGCTAACATTTTTCTTTTTTTAAAGGAAGCTGCGAGTGTGAGGGACTTTTTCAAACAAAATGATTCAACACGCAGCAGCATTTTTCCGTGATAGTGTTAGCATATTGAATCAGATGCCTCTTTCATACATTTTATCCTGTAAATTTGAGTGGAAACGCAAAAAGAAAAAACAAAGACCTAAATTGTAAACAGAGCAACAATATATGTACACAAAAACTATGTATCATTTGAAGGAAAAAAAACATCGTTTAAACTCTTCGGGGAATTTTCTTCTGCTAAAGTCATCAAGTAAATTTGTAAATTGAAAAGAGGTAGGTAGATGTTACTGTAAGAAAACGCAGCCAAAAATAATTAGGTCACTATATCATTTTAGCCACAAACAGTCTCAACGTTGTTCATTTTACTTCTCTTTTAAAGTGTTTTTTTTTTGCCTTTGAATCGCATTTGGAGTTGGAAACGAGAGCCGGCGGAGGCAATAACCGAGACCTATTTATTGGCAGGGATCAGCCCGCCTCGACTGACATGAATCATTGACTCGGTTTTTTGAGGTCTCGTGTGCCCTGACAGATGTTTCCCAAACAGACAAACAAGCCTAGATAGTTTGCCCAAAAAGAAAAAAAAAACAGCCACAAAAAGCGCGGGGGTTCAAAAAGTCACTCGGGCATTAGCCACAATAATACAAATTGGGGGGGGGGGGGGGAGAGGGGACGGGAGGGGGAAGGAAAACCATTGTTAAGGAGATTTACAAATGAACATGATTCATGTTGTTCATTTGTGCAATTTATTGTGAGGGTACGCACCCATACATACTCTTGTCAAATATGTAAACTAGAGGCTTTGTTGTTCTGTATATGTATGCATAAATTGACTTTTACATAATAAACTGATGAATGTAAGTCATTAAACATTGGGTTAATTTACATGTACACATAGATCATGAACTTAACCTCAAGGAACGAAAGCACCATACATTGAGTTTAAACCATTTTCGATAAAATCCCAATTATCAAAACTTTCATCTTTTCGCTGAACACTGATTTCAATTGGCGGGATCTCCTCAGTTGATAAAAGACAAACAAAATTAGAATTCAATCATAAAATTCAATAACATAAATGTCATTAAACAAAACAGCTCTGAACATTTCAATGTTGACTCACCTTCAAGCATCATGCCCATCTGTAAGCATTTCTGAAACCTGCAGAACTGGCAGCGATTCCGCTGCGCCTTTGTGACTTCACAGTTCCCGCTGCCGACGCAAGTGTACACCCGTTTGTTCTGGACTGTCCTCTTGAAGAACCCCTTGCAACCCTCGCAGGTAATGATGCCGTAGTGCAAGCCTGTGGCCTTGTCGCAGCAGATGCTGCAGAGCATCAGCGAGTCATCCTCGTCCGAGTTGCTCTCCTCGCTGTGCCCCTGACTGTCCAAACCTGAGACGGCGCTCTCTGACTGCGAGCGCAGCTTGAGTTCTCCCTCCCGCAGGAACTGGGGGGCCTGGTGGAACGGCAGTTGCGGCGGGAACGGGAAACGCGAGGAGGCGGCCGAGGAGAACGGGATGCCGGCAGTGAACGGCGGGAACAGGAAGTTGCCACTGGGCAACGACGGCGGGAGGAATGCACCTGGCGTGGGAAGACTGGGGGAGGGGGAGGGCTGGCAGCTGGGCGAGGAGAGGACGGAGAAGGGGCTGATGGCACACATGGGTGAGTCCATACCCCCAAGTGAGGGGCGTTTGGTCTTCAGGAGAAACCCACTGTCTGAGGTTGTGCATGCGATGGTCTGGCATGGGGACGGTGGGATCAAATTGGACACCATCAGTAATGGTGGCGGGGGTAGGGGTGGGCGGCAGTGCATGGTGATCCCATCCATGACCGAATCCTCGCAGATGAACACCTCATCTCTTCCGGGACTCTTGGACAGCGGGGACATAGCCAGGCGCTCCTCGCCCCCTTTATACAAACCGCTCCAGCGTTTGGTGGGAGGGAGCTTCTTGAAAACAGGCTCGTTGTTGTTATTGTTATTGCAGATAATATCCATCTTTGGTGATTTGGAATCCAGACAGGTCCCGTTTGGGAACTCAATATCGACTGAACAGCGCTTCATACTGTGTCTTCTTTGAACCTGCTGAAGAGCAAAGAAAGTAAAATTACCTGCCAGCTAAATGTAGCGTTAAATTTTGTGGATAAACCTAATAGACAGCAGTCACCCACTGAAACCTGTGCTGACACAAAAGTGGGTGGAAGTTACCAGAAGTGCGAAACCATCAAATTTGTTTAACATTTGAATTCTTAGAACTTTCAGCTGGGCACTAATACTAAGAAAGTGAATCATCTTCTTATACGACAAACCTGTTTTCTGTGGATGATAAAAATGTAACAAACTATTTTGTATCGGTCGGTCAACTCCATTAAAGACTGCTTGTCGAATAGGTTATCAAATTGCCTTCCAAGAGCATTAAAAGTAGGGTTTAATTATCATTTAAAAGACTTTTTCATGCTTAATCTACAAAGAAAAATAGAAAACACTGCAAACAAAATGACTGAATTGCAAATTCTTAATAATAATATTATTATGTGAGAGAAGATAATATTTCATCACAGTGGGCGTTAAATATATAAAATGACTTGAAGGAGGGAAAAAAGCACAGACTGTATGGTATGTATAACTGATACTCAAATTACCAAAAAGGAGACAGAAATTCACAGTTACATGAACACGTGAAATGTAGCTCGTAAAACATGAATGCATAACATATTCTTTTGTGTCAAAGCGACACCACACGCCACACGCTGCTTGTTTCATAAACCATTTGCAAATTTTTCAGCGGGAAGCCATTCCCATTTGTGTTCTTAGCCGACTATGCAGATGTTCTCTCGTGCGGTCCATAAATTCATAATTTACAATGTGATGATAAACGGAAGAGGGCTGCGGATCGCGGAACGGCTTACTAAAACAGCAATGCGGAGTTTGTGTACAAATGGCTTTTGCAGCATAAGTTGATATCTGATTCAATCAAATTGATATCGGTCTAACGCGCAACAGGCTGACCTGCCACATTTGAAAATTTTTAAGAGCAGGGGCGAACAGTTTCTTCCATTACAACCATCATCAATCATAAACGCCAACGCCATAGCAGAACCCATCTGCCCGCTTTTGATAATTCTTTTCATCCCGAAGTTCAAAGCAATCACGTCTGGGCAAAATCGGCCCTCGATAATAAAACATGTCTGGGGAAGGGTGGCAGTTCTTCAATTATTCATCACAATGCCTTGACCCCGGGATATATTAGAATGTTTATCTGGGACTGACCGAACGACGGCACGAGCGGATTCTTAACTATGGCTCTCTGAAATGACAGTTACATGTAACATCATCAGTGATTTCCCAAATTTGAAGTGATGTAAATTTTGTTTCAAGGCTTGCTCCATGAACACATTTATTACATACATTGGTAGGAAAATTGCACCAAAACATCAAATCCATCCTGTCACATTACAGGCAAGCAACTGGGAATTTAGAAAAAAACGAGGAAATTCCAAATCACACAAGACTTTGTACAGTTTTTTTCAATTTGTAATGGCATTCATGAGAACTAAAAAAAAAGAGGAAATCAGCAGATCCGAGGAAATGTTGCATGCCTGACATTGAGAGTAGACTTTGTTAATTCAAAATGAGAACAAGAATCCACTTGACATTTGTCAAATATTTGGAAACATACAATTTCAGAAGTTAAGATAATGTAACAATTCATATCTGATGTATTCCATACAGAAAAGTGAAATGTCTCCAAAACTCTGGAAATTTAGTTTCACTTGAACGGATGAGTAATACTAATACTACAATTTTACGACCAAACAATATGGAAAAACACTTATCAAGGGCCTGACTTTTGTTACAAGAGTGAAACGAATCAGAAAGCTGACCTACACATGAACCCGCGGTTGAATCTGCAATTTTAAGTGTTTACTCTGTCACAAAGGATAAAAATAACCCACCTTATCAAAGTTCACAATCTAAACTTCTTGCCACTTTTCAATTTTGACCAGGCAGATTAGGGCACCCATGTAAACCCATGTTAACTCCTATTGCTAAACCCAGCACTCCCCCGAGAAAGGTTTTCTGGAAATTCAGCGCAAAATTTGGGATCTTAAAAAATGGGTTAACCTAGGACCCGGCACATTTCGACAGGTTCTAAAATAAGCCTCCAGAGTCACCTATGTGACCTTATGCATCAGCCAAGAACATGAATCAATATTCCGTTTTGAGGAAGACAGCAGTTGGTGTATTTTTCTTCCTTTTTTTTCCCACCCACTTTTCTCTCAGATCTCACAGATGTTTGGAAATGCAAAGGGCACGGACTCCAACTGGCATGGAACTTATCACATTACAAGCAAACACTGACTGCAACTGCAGAAGCTAAATATATAAACAAACAAATTTATAACAAAAAGTACAGCATTTCTGGGTCACTGCAGGTTAGAAATGAATATTTCAAGGCTTTGGAATGACTTCATTATTCCACACATTAAATTCAGACATGTGCAAATTCCTGCGTAGATCATGAAACAATTTTTTTTTAACATACCAACTAAATGAATTTTAAGATATAAAATGTATGAAATAATTTCTGTACCGTTTGATCATATACATTGTACATTTTCACTGGTAAGTTCCAGGCAAAATACATGCGATTTATACTTCTTACCTTGTGAAATATAAAATGTTAGATCTGAGTTAGGTATTTTCGATCGGCTGTTACATCGGCAAGGCAGGTTCTCATGCCAAATCCGGACGAACAGGGAGAAATCAAAGTTGATCCAATGACCAATGTAAAACGATACTTCGATTTTTCAGGCGATGCAAACACGGTGGACAAATCCGCCACTATCCCGCGATCATGAATGAGATAACACGGAACATTTTCGTCTACACTCACAACAAAAATCTGATCTGATGAAACTTTGATCAAGCTGTTGCATCAATTGAACAATTACACTTGCAAATGATGTAAGAGGGAAAACGGTTTTGTTTCACATTGTCAATTTCTCACCGGTTCCGTTGTTTCTCTCATCACAATCTGTCGGTTGAAAAAAACAACGATGCGGCCGCCTTTCGCAAATCGTCAAAATGCTCCAGAGGTCGATCCGACAGAATTCATGAATTTTTCTTCTTCGCCGTCTTTGACGAAGCAGGGCTCGAAATCACCTTGATCGTGGCCGAGACTTTGAGCAATTTTCCCCGATTTATTACACTAGCATGCAGGATGATGTGTGTTTCGAGCAGACAGGAACAGTGTTTCCAGTGAACTCACCGCGAGCAAAGCCCGAGACCGGCGGAGCTGAGCGCACTCTGTGGAGGGCAGTACTCCGCGATCATCGACCCCGGCACGGCCAACAAGCGCCGTGGCCTACATTCATAATATTAACCGCCGATACAGAGGTCCAACCAAACCAAAAAAACAAAACAAAACTCTCCGATCCACCCAAAAACAAAAATACTCAAACATCGAAATCTTCACCGAAACAACCCAAGTGTCGCGAAGTAAGAATTATCCTACCTTTATACGAAGCCAGGCTCCCGATCCGATTGTCAAATCCACAAAATCCGAGTTTTCTTGAGCCGAGTCGGGTGGAGGTGGAAAAAATTGTCCGGGGAACGGAGAGATAGACGGTGTGTGTGTGTACAAATCGTACGGAGTCACCGACCACAATGTGATAGCTGCATACGTAGGTGCGCACATGTGGAGCTGACTGCGTACACGACGTCTGTGTGTTTGTGATGTAGTGATGACTCGGGGGTTCTCTACGGAGAAGACGGAGTTCAAACCGGACTGAAACTAGGCTATAAATACAGTGCGATTAGTAATGCTACGGCGGCCGCAAAGTGCAGCCCTTGTTACTTATTCATGATAGCGCACAGGTACATCGACATTGGACTATGGGGCTAGGTTGAATGACCCAACCATTTTCTTATTTTCTCCTCAATGTCACGATCGGTAGAAGGAGCAGCACAAAGGCTCGTCTCTGCCGCTTTTATTCAGACACTCTCAGACCCAGATTACTCGGCGATCTATTTAAAAGGCGGGCAACTGGTGACGTGTATTATTTTCAGTAAATTTCCCCCGATTTGGGGACTGAGGCAGACAAAAGTGTAAGAGAATTCATAGGCATTGTAACCTGATCAATGTATATTCTAAGTAGGACAGGCTTGAATTTGAAGGGCTAAGTTCCTCCTAGACTTAAACAACTGCAATTTGTCATGTAAATCAGAACATTTCAGGAAAGCAAGTTTATATTTATATTTTCTGGTGACCTTTCTTTAAAACATATTTCTTGGAAAAAAATAAGTTTCAAATTTGTAATTGGCGCTGTTGTGGATATAAATTATATCCATAACATAATTTCTTCTTTTTAATCCAAAAGTATCATTAAATGTATTTTCTTTATAAAAGTATCATTAAATGTGTTTTCTTTCTTTGTTAGCACTTATAATTTAGTCTAATTTTGTTGTCCATATTGTTAAAGTCAGTTATATTTTTATCTAATTTGAAACCTCTTTGACATTTTTGAATTTTTTTTAATTTCTTGTTTTCAATTTGTATTCTTCATATTTCTCATACATTATTTGGATTAGCAATTAAAATGCTCTGAATAAATTATTCAATCATTAGTACTACTCATGTTTTAATATTTGGCAAGTTGTAAAAAAAAATTCAGCTTAAATGAGGATTGCAAGGATAAATCTTATTAGTGTTTACACCTCATCTGCTAAAGTGATTGTTCCAACCAGGATGGTCAACCATTAGCAAATCATCCGTTTGTCACTTACCAACCACCGTACGTAGTCTAGTCCAAAACAAAAACACCCCCAAAAACCCGAGCAACAAAGCATCACATATTAATACGAATTTATAATGGATCTATCAATCAACACGTTTTCCGAGGGGCAAAGTGAGCGAGTGGGTCCAGTTAATAATTTATCTTTTTTTGTGCTCGGCCCATAATAATTATTTTGTCTCGATGTGTTGCTGTTACGTTAGCCGTGACTGCACGGGCGGGTCGCGCACTCGCGCACGGCACTTTTTGCATAATTCATTCCGGTGTGAAATCGAGTGGGGAACATCATCAATTTGTTTAATTGTTCCTTTTCAGTGGGAGTTGGGAGGTAATCTTAAACCAATTGGGTTACCCCCGAAAATACTGGCCGTTATTTATGAAATAACATCTCTCAAATCTTTTTTCAGGGCACGTTTTGGGAACTTGATAAAATTTCAAGCTGTCGCGTAAAGGTTGAGGGCTTAAAGGCTTAGCTTGATGTCATTCCTGTTGGTGACTTGCTGGATTGGAAAGTCGATCAAATTCTTCAAATAATACTAACTGTTATCTCATGCATGCAGTTCAGTGGTTCGTGGAATTTTGGGGAAAAAAGGAAACTGTAAACAACATTGTTTTTCCTCATTGAACCATGCAGTTTCCACCCACAAATCATTCTGATTCCTTTACAAAAGCAGGGTCAAATCTCAAGAGCATACGTATCGCAAGAAAATCTATTTTCTGGGGAATCGAAGCTTTCAACTTTCGAAGAATCATAATGAGCCCCGGTGTATGCGGTAGAAAACACCAAAAACACAACAAGTCCACTCATTGTAATACATGTAATGTAGTTGTGTATGGTTACGGTATCGGGTTCTGGTCAAGGCCAGCTGACCAGTTCTTTGGTCACTCGGCTGTGCTTCGGACAGACGGTGGCGCTATTACGTAATCGCCGCGCGCTGACCACACACTTCTCGGCACTAGGCCGGTTCTGCAGACGATAGTGGTCATTTTTCGTCATTAGCTATCTATGGCTAAAAAGCGATGCAACGAAGGCATGTTTTACTTTTCTCTTAGTGAATTTCATGTAATTTTTTTTTAAGTGAGGATGTAAATTATGTTCACATTTTCAGCAATGCACGTGTTATTTTGACCCACAGTCAGCGATCCACAAGTTTGTAACATATTCCTGCGTGGCTTGTAGTGTAGGGAGATCTGTTCTGTTATGATCAGCAACATGTTTTGACCGCAACTTGAAAAGGTAAAGCAAATATATCTGTTATTTAGACCTCATTTCCCCCTTCCAACACACCACCTCGACTCTACACTGAAAAGTGTCACTCAATCCAGACGCGCTCCCGTTCACCATGACCTTTAGAGTGAACCAGGAACTTGAAACCTAAATAAAGAATTCCATGAATTGCATATCACCGGCGGCCATTTTGGATCGCCATGTTTCCCCCATAAGGCCCAGTCGACAGTCCAGCCGCTGTTCGCTACATGACAGACATCTTCATCTTCCGGTGTGGGCTCTGGTCAGCCTTTTCCCCTTTTCCATTTCGTGGCTGCCTAATGCTCGCCTTTAGCTGTATCCAGCCCGTATACCGCAGCCAACTCACCCGTCGAGGATATTAAAAAAAAAATCCAGTCAGGCAGGCCGGGTCGTTGTTCGCGCGTTCCACTTTTCCCGGGCAACCGGGGAGTTTGCTCATGCGCCGGAGCTGACACGCCCCGGGGGCACTGCTAACCCGCTTTCCCCGCACCGCGCGCTCCTCTCTCTCTCTCTCTCTCTCTCTCGCTGCCCCGTGCCACTATCCGACCATCCCCCAGTCTCTTTCTCCCCTCTACCCTCTCTGATCCAGTCACAACCCCTCACTGACAAAGGTGATGATTGTCACAGCTTCTCAGGTCATTTATTCCGGCTTCTAACAAGCCTGTCCCGCTCGCGGTAATTACAAAAGATGGGAGGCTGATTGTTTTGCGCAACATGTAAATAATAAACACAGGCTGGAGGAAATTAAGCAGAAACTGTCGGTTTCTTCCCATATGTAAAATTTACATATATATAAAAAGGTCTCTGGTTTTAATAACAGGGGATATTTTGTTTACTTGGTGAACAAGCTTTTTTTTTCTCTGACCATTTTTTTCCGTGATGGCCAACGTTACAGAACCCCAGGATCTATACTCTGCGAGCCATAGTAACAATGACGTCTGTGCCTCTCCGCCCGGAGTCTGCAGAGTCAAAAGTGCAGGAAGTGCATTCAACTAGCGCTGTGCCGAGCCACATCGGGGTCAGCGAACCCAGCCGAGCAACCGACCCCAGCCTAGCCAACCCCTGCCTTGCCTCACCCTGCCTGCCTGCCTGCCTGATGGTCGCCTGCCACAAAATGCTCCAGTCGGCCGAACCCCTCATCGATTTTTTTTTCATCCGCGTTCGAATTCAAGTCTTAGCGCTACATCGTTTCCGGATGAGAGCCCGCCTCGTACCCTTTTTGCTATCTCGGGATTCCGTGGCCGGAATAACATTGGCCAGGTTTTCCACGAGAGGGACGGGATTAATCGAATTTTCAGGAGGGAGAAGCCATTTTCTTTCTCTTCCCTCGTATCCCCATTTTTTTTTGTTCGGATCAGTTCAACTCCCTCGCTAAGCGCAGCCAGTGTGCATCATCATCCCTCAACCAAAGGGCTGGCTGAACTCTTACCTGGCAGGCTCATCAGCATACAGCAGGCGATGAACCCAGAGTCCGACCGCTCTGCGCGGGCGCACAATTCTGGGTCAATTGATTCAACCGCGGCACAGTTGCCTGCCCTCGACCTTCGCACGACCGTGACTTTGAATGCCGCTCGCTGCCTGCCTTGCCTGCCTTGCCTAGCCTGCGCCGCCTGTTTACCGCTGTTCTATTTTTGTCTGCCTGCCAGCAGAGTGTGTGTTGTGTGAGCGCGTGAGTCAGACCAGGCCAGGCAGCCAGCTCAGCGCAGAGAGGGCACCGAGTTCATCGCTCCTCGCTCGCCCGATTCAGCTCGAGTCACTAGCGGTTGACGATCGCTTTTTTCTCTTTCCGCCGGGCGTGGCGCTGTTCATATCCACACGGTCGCTCTAAATACATGCCCTCTTTATTCATTAAAAAAAGGGTGAATATGCCGAAAAACATGCCAAATTTAATCCCTCCTCTCTGAATAATTGATGTTCCGAGAATTGTGTGAACGAGGATATCGTTTGAGAGGGCAGAGCCAAGTGAGGGGCTAGGCTGTGTGGTGGGAAGTCAACACAGGTCAGACAGAGTTCAGCGGGTAAATAAATGCAACCGGGGCGGCTGTCCTGACTTGAACTTCACCGAAGTGGGTCGCGGTGTAGAGTGTTTGCCTTGAGTGTGTCCCGGTAAACTGTAACGGGCAAGGCCAGGGTCAGTAGGCTCCTCAAATTACACTATACCCAGGCCATTGTTGCCTTGGCGAGGTAACTTGCCAAGGCACACAGCTCAGAAGAAAAAAAACATGCCCAGCCCAGATGCCCGGCCCAGATGCCCGGCCCAGACAAGACAAATATACACCAAAACATGTTTTTGGTCAAAGTGTTAAAATAACTTAGAAAACGTAAAATTTTATGAGTGTCTGGAGCAGGGTATTAATATACGCGGGTTGATAGATGGTAAAATTTTATGAAGAGATTTGGTGATGGCATCAATTTTGTCGTCGAAACAAAGACATCGCTGCCAACTTCGTTCGGATTTTAATT